CTATGATGTGACGTCATGTGATGAGTTATTGAATCCGCTCAAGTTATTAAGTTATTAGAAAGGCATTGGAGGGGTGATGTATTCTGTGATTCCTGGGAGTCAACTGTTAAAATCATCAAAATAAGAGTCATTTGTATTAGGCAAATAAATCTTGGAGCGGAATCGAAGACATAAATATTCTCCAAGTGTGGGGGTTAGGAGCAGTGGATCAGGAGCAGGATTGACATGAGCAATGAGGGTCCCCACCCTGCATATTGACATTAATTAAAACACTCAAGGAATTACATATCTGAAATGATTGACAGCTTAAAAACCATTAAAAGCGCTATATAAATAAAGGTGACTTGATTTGACTTGACTTTAGAACAGATTTATGATGCAGAACTCTGGATGTACTTGTTTGGTGAAAGAAATATTTAAAGCGTGTCCCTAGACCACTGACTTTAGTGGTAACTGGGTGAAAATAGGAAGTTAATCCCACACTGAAATTAGTTTAATGTATATGTAGGCCAACATGTTTGACGCTCAATTTACATCAAATCAATGTCAAGTCAAGTTTTTGATGTCAGTTTGATTTGCATAATTTCTTTAAAGGGGTCATCGGATGCTACATGCACTTTTACAAGTTGTTTGAACTGAAATGTGTGTTGGCAGTGTGTGTACACAACCGCCCTATAATCATAAAAATCCACCCAGTGTTTTTTTTTAATCATAAACAGAACTGCACACATCCAGCGGAAGAACATTCCAACGGGAGCTATTTCTCTAAGTTTATGTCTATGGCGATTCACGCAGGTATGTGTTACTCCGCAGAGGTGACGACCCGACCAGGCTACAATAGTCCAAATATAAGTACTTATTATAAGTGTACCGTAGTGATTCGGAATAAGACAAAAATGCAGTTTGGAAGATGAATTCATGATGTACTCGCTCATTATATACATTTAGCAAATTTTGAACACAGAAAAGTTACATAGTGCTGCTTTAACAAGGCGGACCTCTTTAAACAGCTCCTCTTGAGGGGCTGCTAGTTTTTGAATAAACCTGTGCAGGCTTTCCAAGTTATCATTTCAGTGTTGGTATTATTTGATCTCAGTGCTGCATATGATACTGTCGACCACAACATACTCCTCAACAGGTTGGAAAACTGGGTAGGACTTATATGAGACAGTACTTAGATTGTTCAGATCATATTTAGGCTGCTTTGTAAATTCATGCCATTTCGAATCTAACTGGACTGCCATGACTCATGAAGTTTCACAAGGCTCAATCCTTGCACCTCTGCCATTTAATTTGTATATCCTCCCACTAGACTATATAATTTGAAACAACATTTCTTATCACAGCTATGCAGATGACACCCAAATCTACCTAGCTCTATCACCAAATGACTTCAGTCCCATAGAATCCCTGTGCTAGTGCGTGTTACCATCTACAAAACAAATCAGATCCTTTGTGTCTAAGCAAGACCTAGAGAAGCTTAGGCATTCATTACCAGCAGGATAGATTACTGCAATGGACTTCTTCCCACAAAGTCTATTAGAGAGTTGCAGCTAATGCACCGCTGCCAGGCTTCTGTCCAAAATCAGGAAAACTGAATATATCACACCAGTTCCAGTTTTATTCAGAATCCATTTTAAGGTACTTTTAATTGTATGGCCTTGGACCAAAATACCTGGCAGATATGTCAGTTGGATATAAATCAAATAGATCTCTCAGATCGCAAGGATCAAGTCAGTTAATAACATCTAGGGTTCATTCAAAACATGGTGAGATGGTATTTAGCTATTATGCCACCCGCAGCTGACTAGCTTCCAGAGGATGTCAGATGTGCTCTGTCGGTCATTACCTTTAAATCCAGATTGAAAACACATCTGTTTAACCATGCATTTCCTAATTAGTGTGCATAACCGATTGCACTGCACTGTTCTTTTTAAATCTTTGGCAAGTGTACTTTAATCAGATTGCACTGTGGGTATAAGCTAGTAAAAAATGTAGGTAATTACTTCAGAATTCGAACACTACAAAATGACAGATTCCCAAAACAGCCACCCAAAATTCCCCTTTTCAGACCAATGTTTTGATGGCACCACTCAGAGTTTGCACTGTTCAGAAAGTCAACCTACTTACAGTTGTCTCTGCGTATTTTAACACAATAAATTATGCACAGCAGCTTCAAAAAGGAGCAAGACAGATATTACAAGTCTAGACGACAAGAGCCAAACCACCAGTCTGTTTGGTGGGCTGGTGAAAGAGTATGAGCTCTGTCCTGCCTATTTTGAAGGAGTTAATTAAACACCGTCAGCCTCTGGGACGTCTTTGTCCACTACCTCATTGGCCCCTCTGCCATAAATATATCCAGGGGCCCAAGGTCCCTTAGGCATCTCATCAAACACAATGCCCTCCAAACAAATAGATCTCTCAGATCGCAAGGATCAAGTCAGTTAATAACATCTAGGGTTCATTCAAAACATGGTGAGATGGTATTTAGCTATTATGCCACCCGCAGCTGACTAGCTTCCAGAGGATGTCAGATGTGCTCTGTCGGTCATTACCTTTAAATCCAGATTGAAAACACATCTGTTTAACCATGCATTTCCTAATTAGTGTGCATAACCGATTGCACTGCACTGTTCTTTTTAAATCTTTGGCAAGTGTACTTTAATCAGATTGCACTGTGGGTATAAGCTAGTAAAAAATGTAGGTAATTACTTCAGAATTCGAACACTACAAAATGACAGATTCCCAAAACAGCCACCCAAAATTCCCCTTTTCAGACCAATGTTTTGATGGCACCACTCAGAGTTTGCACTGTTCAGAAAGTCAACCTACTTACAGTTGTCTCTGCGTATTTTAACACAATAAATTATGCACAGCAGCTTCAAAAAGGAGCAAGACAGATATTACAAGTCTAGACGACAATAGCCAAACCACCAGTCTGTTTGGTGGGCTGGTGAAAGAGTATGAGCTCTGTCCTGCCTATTTTGGAGGAGTTAATTAAACACCGTCAGCCTCTGGGACGTCTTTGTCCACTACCTCATTGGCCCCTCTGCCATAAATATATCCAGGGGCCCAAGGTCCCTTAGGCATCTCATCAAACACAATGCCCTCCAAACACACACTCATAAACTCTCTATCCCCCTCACAGAGAGAACCCTTTCCCCCAACCACCATCTCAGATTTATAGAGGCTTCGGGTTTAGTCAATTTGCCTTCAGACTAAATAAATGACAGTGTTCTGCCAAGAGTAATAACAGTATGTTGATGCACAAGGAGGGAGAGACATCTTCGCTTGCTCCATCAGTCTCAGAGCACATCTTTAATATTATCTGCTTGCTTCCAGTCCCAGGATAAGTGCTTTTACACACTCGCGCACACACACACACAAGCCATTCTGTTTAGTGGAGTGTTAGACCTCGCCTTGATACAAAATTGTATAACTTTACGGTCCACTGTACGCAGCAATATTGGATAAAATGAATGATATTTACTCTGTGTAAGCATTTGCCCTTCCATATGTTGTTAGACAATATCTAGAGATCTGGTTCAATGCATGATATTTCATTTCTCGAGGACAGAAATGCTGTAAAAAATATTGTCCGAATATGTGAGCATGGCACTGCAGAGGGCCATTTCCATAAACTACTGTCACCGCAAGAGCAATGTGAGATCTCTTCAGACCGGCATCAAAACACTTTCCAACAATAAATACTGTAAAGAAAGTCAACCCTGATTTTTGCATTTGAGTAATAAAATTTACAGTACATCTGTTTGGTAAATGGCCATATAGTCCAACCTTGAGTGACTTACTGCTTTTATACAACATAAATATTAAAGACATGAAATGTATTATTATTCATCATGTATAATTCTATTTTATACACCTCTAGGTAAGCATATTCAGTCTGCTCTGCTTGACCAGTTTCACAATCTGAAGAGATTAAAGACCGTCTGTTCAATACAACTGTCTGCAGTTCAAGGACACCTGTGCCATCTAGTGACAACAAATAAAACATGTGACTCTGTTGGGTTTTAATATTTTATTGCCACATATAGTGATACTACGCAATTAGTTTTCTAAGCATCTAACTGCCTCCAATAATAATAATAATAATAATAATAAAGTCTATGCCTTCACCTTTTCTGTTCTCTTATCTTTTTACTATTTTGAATGATGACTGAAACCTTGTTTAACACGCACTAATGTTTATTGCCATCTTATGATACATCACTTCTTGTATTCCTCAACTCTAAGAAATTTAATATACTAGTGCTGTCAAACAATTAATTGCGATTAATCATATCCAAAATAAAACTTTTTGTTTACATAATATGTGTGTGTACTGTGTATATTTATTATGTATACTGTATATAAATACACATGTATATATTTAAGAAAAATGTTATGTTTATATATTAAATATATTTATGTATGATACAATTTATATGAATATAAATATATACATGTAAATATTTTCAAAATAATATGCTGTATGTCTTTATATATACATAATATACACACAGTACACACACATATATTATGCAAACAAAAACGTTTATTTGGGATGCGATTAATCGCGATTAATCGTTTGACAGCACTCATATATATATATATATGAATGAAGAGTTCAATTCAGATGCAAAACCCTCTAAGTGCTGTCTGAAAATTTCATCTAAAATGAGCATTTTTATCAGGCTCCTATGCTTGGGTTCAGTCATTTTACTTTAATGGCAATTTATAGGCCTTTTCTATGCCATTAAAGTGAAATAATTGAACATAAATATAGGAGCCTGATAAAAATGCTCATTTTAGATGAAAATTTCAGACAGCACTTAGGAGGATTTTGCATTTGAACTCTTTATATATATATATATATATATATATATATATATATATATATATATATATATATATATATATATATATATATATATATATATATATATATATATATATATATATATATATATATATATATATATATATATATATATATATATATATATATATATATATATATATACACACACACACACACGACAAGAGTCAGACAGTAATTCAAATCTCTGGATGGAAGCACTGAGACACAGCATTAGAAATGTGCTGAGGTCCCAAAATGTGAAATTACAGACATCTTGTCTTTGCCCTCCCATCGATTCCTGATTCAAATATGGCAGTAGGGCAGATTTGTTAAAACTCTCATTGCTTCCTTTTATTCTCCTTATAATGAAGCCAATTCTTGTGTCAGTCGCTCTTTCTCTTTCTGGAGTTTGATGATACTATGTTTATTCAGTTCCAGTCGATCTTCCAGCCACTGCAGCAGCGGGCCGCTTATGGCCGACATCTGACTGCACAGGTTTTTAGTGAACACTGAGAAGCACACATACATACAAAACATTATACACTGTAGAAATGGTTCTAAATTTGACAAACTTCATATTTGTGAAATAAGGTTAGTCCCACACTATACACAAAAACATTTTAGAAATAATACATTGACAAATGATCTTTTATTTAAAAACTAATCTTTGTGCATTATGAATTGACTGATCTATGCAATTTGCATGTAGAATGTGTTTGATCTTATTTAACAATCCACAGCTGACATACTGGAAAAAATGTGGTCACAGATTAATTTGAGTGCAAATAAAAAACCAAGTGTCATGACGACGAGAAAACAGCTCTGATTTTATTTTAACACTTCTACATTGCTGCCATGCAAGCACTACTACTTCCTTCAGGAAATACAGAGTAGATTTGATAATTACATTACCTGATCCATTATGTATCTTTGTGATTGGATCCAGATGAGTTAAACTGAAATATTGGTGCAAAAAAAGAAAATATTGCATGAAGTAGCCATTTACTAAGTTAAATAATCTGAAACATATCTACAAAGAAATGTAGCCATGGATTATTATGATCTTAAAGATTCCTAAACGCATCTACTTTCGGAAGGTCTGCTTTCACCTAGAATCACACAGCGTCTCTCTGACATGCTGCTTCAACACTAACTGCGGTTACTGAAACCACGCCTTCTTTCTTTGCGTGCACATTTGGGTGGGATTATGCAAATATTTCCACATAGTGATGTAGATATGTGGGGGCGTGTTAGAATGAGGCATTTTAGGGGGGTGTGGCAGAGTCTTAACTTTGATAAAAATCCCTCCAACTTCAGGGATCTTATCTATGCACAATCAGCTTGTAACACTCCAAAGAGAAAGCAAAACTTGAAATCGCATCATATGACCCCTTTAAAATAATCTGAAACAAGGAATACCTGTGAATCCTTCTGTATGTATCCTGTTCTTCTTGACAGAGGATTCTGGGTAGTTCCACGGCAGACTCCAGACATACTTTCCCAATGGCTTCATGTGGGACTACATGGATGGGGATCTCAATCCGTTCATACCTTGTCATAAAAGAGGAATGCAATCTCCATATTTATGAGCAAAAACACTGCACAGAAGACTATTTCTAGCACACCACAAAAAGCTCAACAGCCTCGACTTGAAGCAGTGAAGCAGTTAAAACAATTAATCAAATACTGAGTGATCAGATAAATAAAACACACACTTAATAAACTAGTAATCTTATGCTTAAATGCTTGAAATAAGTTTTGTAGACACATGTAAATTATGCCTATGTATATTGTATGGAGTTGCAAAACTAAAAATGTAAAATTGTTCTTTATTTTTAAATGAATTCGTTTTTAAAATAAAAAGAACATTATTTACTCTGAGCCTTTCTGGGCTTGTACAGACTGGAAGCAGGTGTACAGAACTCTACCAGTCTACAAGAGAAATGGAAAGAAAAATCATGGTAAAAACGTGACAAAATAGTAACTCTTCATTTTCATTTTAAGATGGCGAGCTTAACATACCTTTGTGTTTTTATCTTCTATAAAGCATGAGAAGATGAGGCCAACAAAACCCTGATCCATCATCTGATACATTGCTTGAGTCCTAACATCTGCATAACGTGAGAACAATTGCAATTTATTCAAATAAAAGGAAGATATTAATAATGCATATTTCCATGCTTTCATTCAAAAAAACTAACCAACATGTGATGGCCACACAGTAATGTGTGGATGAGAGTGGTACCAGCCCACAACCCTCATGGGACGTCCCGTCATATCAGCCAACCTGTGCCTCATATTAAGAAAACGTGCTGAAATAGCATCAGGATTACACTTTATAATAAATGTCATTAAGAAGTAATTATATAGTACTTCCAATAAATGTGTATTGATATATGAACATAATGAGGTCCAAATGCCTGAAACCACTAGTCAATTAGTGCATTCTTCTATTTGAAACCTTTTCCCCATTACACCGTTATTATATTTTGAGCTTATCGGTTTGAGTGAAAAGTTGAACTGAAACATGTACAAGAATATTAGAAGGTCTTGAAATGTATCATTTTGCTTTAATAACAGCAGCACCCACGTTTACGCAAAACCTCAGGGTCTGTGTTATTCAGTACAATCTGAGAATGTTCCAAAGAATATATTGTGATTTTACTCAATACTTATTTGCGAGCATAAACTAGATTTTGAATATTAGATTTCTATGCATACTGTACAACCCCGCTTCCAGAAAAGTTGGGACATTTGGTAAATAACGGTTAAAGAGTACTAACACATCACAGATTCTTGTTTTAATTGCATTTTACAAAATGTCCCAACTTTTTTGGAAATGGGGCTGTCAAAGCTTTATGAATTTTCATGACATTTCTACTAAAACTGTTACCCAGTACAGTAAACGGAGTATGCATTTCAAAACACATAATTTGCAGTTTTTGAAGCATACCATGGTATTGAATGATTACCATATTTAATTACTGTAGTTACATGATCCTTCAGCCTAAAAAATACCATATTACCAAGTTGTTAGTGCAATGTTTATGTATTGCAGAATGAAGAAAAACAAGAAAATAAAAACAGCCCCAAATATAAGCATAAAAAATTTAAAAAGGTTATATAATAAGGTTACATAAATTATAATAATGATGCATATATGTAAAAGTCTACTCAAAGGCAGAGCCAGATGCGGCTGCTTAGGGCCCCCGTGGCCACCAGGGGGTCCTAAAAGTACATAAAATTACACCTTTTTTTGTACATTATACATTGTCAAAGGACAATAGTAATTTTACAAAAAGTAGGGTCTCTTCTTGTTTTAGGGAAGTTCATGTTTGATTAAACATCCGTAAATAGCCTTGACATCTTAATATATTATATAACATTTTACTTAACTAGTTTTAGATTAAAGCTTTCGTCTTGTGTGTAAAAATAACTTTTTTCAGGTATATATTTTTTGTAATAAAAATAAGCTGTTGTTTCATAAACTTGGTACTGATAACAGCTTAACATGATTTACCTTAGCCTACCCTTTGGGGTCTTTGCTATTATATTCCAATATCATTATGCCTCAATTAGCTAGTTATAGATTAAGAGTTGTTTTTTTAGATGTACAAATGGCTTCCTGCTGTGTTCAATAATGTATGTTGTTAAAATAGCATTATGTTCCATAAATGCATTGTCTGCTGGTTTATTTAGCTAGTTTTCAGTACACCACATTAAGAATAACACTTAGTACTGTAAGACTTTGAATGTTAAAGGGGTCATATGATGCGATTTCAAGTTTTCCTTTCTCTTTGGAGTGTTACAAGCTGATTGTGCATAGATAAGATCCCTGAAGTTGCAAAGACTAAAGTCTCAAAACCAAAGAGATATTCTTTATCAAAGTTAAGACTCTGCCACGCCCCCCTAAAACGGCTCGTTCTAACACGCCCCCGCATATCTACATCACTATGTGGGAATATTAGCATAATGCGCCCGAATGTGCACGCAGAGAAAGAAGGCGTGGTTTCAGTAACCGGAGTTAGTGTTGAAGCAGCATGTCAGGGAGACGCTGTGTGTTTCTAGACGAAAGCAAAGGCATTTTATTTGGCCTTCCGGAAGTAGATGCATTTAGGAATCTTTAAGATCACTTACAACAGAACAGCAATGCATTTTATAGATGACCGTTTCGTGAACCTAGGAGAGGAAGTAATTCTGACTTTGCTATGACAATCCGGCGCTTCTGAATCAGCTACTGTTTTGTTACTAGTTTAAATATTTGCTATTGACTGTTCAAATGCAGAGGTTTGTGCATCGTGTGTGTGTGTGTGTGTGCGAGCGAGAGAGAGAGAG